TTTCCTTTTAATTTTGTATTTTCCAGGGGGGGGCAGGGCCCCCCCCTGGAACTCCCAGGGGGGGGCAAGAGGACTACTGCCCCCCCCCCTATGTACGCCACTGGTCTCGAGATTAAGCATTAATCCTGATATCCACCATTCTAAAGTTCCCAACTCAGAAAAACTAGGAAACTTGATGATCTGAAACACTTTCAAGTCTATACTAGAGTTATAGCGATCTGAAGTTTATAGCTGCGGAGAACATGAATGCAAGAAAAAAGTTCTGTAAAGTCGTTCTGGATCCCCCTGTAGATATATCTAACCTGCAAATATCAGGGTTCTGGATCCCCCTGTAGATAAATCTAACCTGCAAATATCAGGGAAGACACATTTACCATGAACCCCACACCCATTCTCACAAATAGGAAATTCACAGTTCGGACCTTCCCAACCAGAAACTGAACAATAAGGGTTAAATGTTGTAATTTCGAGTAACCCTCCATTTAAAGACCGATTAAAAACGTTATACTGTAAGCCCTTTTCTTATAAATAAGGGAATTTAGTGACGATTTTTATATCGTCTTCGATCCATGTGGCATTTTTTCATGAACACAACAATTGCAGTATTCCAGTTTACACATCTATATATCGAAAAAACCTGGTCTTGAGATTTTCAAAATTTTGTATCTTCAAAATTGACGGAGATATAGCAAAATTTGTACAATCAGCAATTTAATTAATAAATCTAAACTGTTTTAATATCTAATTTCGTCGTCAATTTTTTCAGAAACAAAAAAGGTCTAGTCCACTTTATGAAGCTCATATGACGTGGAGTCTCATTTTTATACTTTTCCATACATTAAATATCAGAAAATCAAAGACGACCTTCAAGTTGTCTCTCAATTCCCTGTTTATTGGGACACCCTGTACAATGTGGTTCAAATCTCTCAATTATCCATTGTTTCTGAAGCAGGAAACCCGCAAGCCACTTTAATATAAAAGAAAACGAAATTGAAAATAGATTACCGGATTACCAGATTACCATATTACCATATTACCATATTAACATATTACCAGATTACCAGATTACCGGATTACCAGATTAACAGATTACCTGATTACCAGATTACCAGATTACCAGATTACCAGATTACCAGATTACCAGTATTACCATATTAACATATTACCAGATTACCAGATTACCAGATTACCAGATTACCAGATTACCAGATTACCAGATTACCAGATTACCAGATTACCAGATTACCAGATTACCAGATTTCCAGATTACCAGATTAACAGATTAACAAATTAACAGATTACCAGATTACTGAATTACCAGATTACCAGATTACCTGAACATTTGACGGTTTCACGTGAGCCCAACCCAAAGCCAGCAAAGGATGCCCGAGGTAAAGGGTTCTTGTTGTAATCTATACTGCGGGACCACCTAAACAAATAGTTGAAACAAATTCCTTTTTAAAACTATGAACTCTGATAAATCAAGGAAGCAAAGTTTGAAATCAAATCCTAGAAAACAGTGAAAAATGAGTTTGATCTATATTTTGTAGTTTATGTGGCAAAGAATGAAAATCAAGAAAATTATTTTTTAAACCATTAAAATGTGATTGAAGCAAAAAAAAACACTAATAATGTAAATAGTGTGGAAGACGATGCCTGGCCGCGTTAAACTAGTTCCACAAGATTCAACAGAATGAGATAGAACGGATACGGGGCATTAGTACTGATATGATCTCTACAGTCTACACGTGCGATATCGATATTGACTCTAGTTCCGAACCCTCTAGTAATAAGTTATAAGAAATATATATATACTGGAAGTTATTGATGCGTTTTATTAGAGTCTGACTCACGTCCTCTATAATAGATAGAAATTGATAATTTTTCTTTTAAAAAAAGAAAAAAGGAAGTCTTTAAGATCTGCATAGATAAGTTTTTAGATGAGCGGTAATTGTGATAAATTTTTTTACTCACCATGGAACTAGGAGTTAAGATGTGCTGCTATAAGGAAATGAAATCTTGAAAAAAATTCTTAATTGTTTAAAAAAAAAAATTGTTAAAAAATTGTTAAAAAAATGAGTCTTTGCCACAAACTGAAATTTTCAAATCCCTATATCTTAAAACCCTGATGGAGTAAACTTTAGATATTATAAATTTGAATTAATAGAATTCATTGTGGCAAACACTCAATTCCTTTCCGAAGTAACATCAATTATTCTGCTTTTTCAATACATTGCAACAATATTGCTTACTTTTGAAATTCAAAATAACAGTTTTTACGAAGATGTTCAAGGGAAGGGTCATACATAAAAAGTTTCAAAACTAGACAATATTCTTGATTTTCCGTTTTTATTATTAATGATATATTTGTTATATAAAGAGCAGTACATCCCTATCTGAATCGGAAGAATTGAAGCTGGTAGATGAATGAGAAAACCATAAAGCAGGATTCTCATCTGAAAAATATTTCCTGCTTTCGACAGCTAATGAACTGAGTTCTTGCCCCAAACTCCAATTGTCTAATCCCTACATGTTTGCAACCCAAAGTCGTACGTACAACTTTGATATTTCTCTTGGATCAAATAATCTAAGTTTGAAAAGTTAAAGATTTACAACATCAGGTTACAAAGATTTGGGTTGTAAGTCAATTTGAAGGAACTGAACACTTTCCTTAAACTCTTATTTTATAATCCCCAGATCATTGTAACCTGGTGTTGAAAAATGTCATATAAATTACTTAGAATCTTAAATCTTGAAGAGTTCATAGTTTGAAATTTTATAGGACTAAGAAATCAGGTTGCAAAGATAGAACATTAAATTTGTTTATAAACTTGTTTATAATTTCTTGGTAGTTTCAGCACAATTTAAACCAAAGATGTAGATTTAAGTTTAAAAACTAAAAACCAATTATTTTATTTATTCTTTGAATTTACAGTTTAGTAAATATACAGATGCAAAAAAAACTTAAACTGAAGAATCATAAAAATCTCTTAATTACAGTGAGGCCCATACAACTGTGGAATAGGAAGACGATAGTCAAGCAATCTTTTGTGCATGTATATGTTTTAAATAGCAAATAGTTTATTGAAAATTAATTTTTTATTTTATTTTACTGTTTTTTGGGTTCCACCGTATGGAAAAACTATATTATACAGTTTATAATTATGTGTGTTGTTATTGTTGCATTTTTAATGAAGATAATTAGAAAAAAATAAAACAAAATAAGTTAGATGCAAAAAAATAAGGTTTTATCTTTTGCTCTCATTAAATCATATTATTATTACTCAAAAACTAAAAAAACCTTACTCAATGATATACAGAAATGAGAATTGAAAATAGTATGATTATGAATAAAGAGTAAAGAATGAATTCACGACTAAAACAAGGAAATTGTTCACAGAAAATGAAAGATGGTATCGGTTGAATCAGAATTGAATCAGAATAAGAATTTATCTCTGATATTTTTTTTTATTTACATCAAAGAATTCCCTCAGTATTAATATAATTAGATAATTTATTTATCAAACTTGAAATATTCAAAAAAATCTTATTGAACAAATAACAAAGAGAAAAAACTTTCAAATTACAAAAATCCTTTACCCCATTTTATTTATTATAAACTCTCCCTTTAAACATTATTTATCTTAGTTCTGTTTTATATATTTATCTATTTTGTTATATTTTACCCTCTTTCTGTCTCTTGTTCGATCACTCTCCTCCCCAATGTAGGGCGGAGGTTTGAAAACTAAATGAGCTTGAAGAAGTTCTTCTTCATGTTGTTTGTTTTCATCAAGATTTATTGTTCTTTTATTATACATTTATACTGATGTAACTAGGCTAGGACCAACCCAGGGCTATACTTAACCTAATCTTACGATCCTTAATCATTAGATATATATTGACTTCAAATCCAATCCAATCAATAGAAATTTTATTATCAATGATTATTACAACCCTAATAAAGTGTAGTGTAGTGTTTACAGCTATTATCTCAAAACTAGCCTTTATATATATCTCTCTGCTGAAGGGTCTTAATATTTGCTCTAAGTTGATATACGTTGTTTAAAGGGACTGTAAGCGTAATTTCAAATTACCTTACCTTACCTTACTATGCCCGAGATTCACAACGGCACCCTGATCAAGTATGAATTATACATATATATCAATGTTTACCATTTTGAAAACTGATAATTTTTAAATGCGGTTTCTATACCATAGTGACTTGCGCATTTCGACTTCAGGAAAAAAATAATAAAATATTAAAATTATATACTTTTAAACCTTGGAAAATGAAAAAAACTTCCACATTATTGATCTGAAAACGAATCCAAGGGTACCATTGTGAATCGGGAATTCCCGTCTTTGCATGGAGGGTCACTTGAAATTACGCTTACAGTAACGCAATTAATTAGTTGTTATTTTAAATCCTTTAATTTAATTCTTTCTTAAATTTATTCCATAACTTCTAATTTAGAAATAAAATTCATTTTATCGTCTATTTCATTTTCAGAATATTAATCTTTGAGTAAATTTTAGTAAAATTTAAAGCTGCTGCCAAAAAGTTGATCCCATTATATGTTGGGTTGTTAATCCTTTAAGAAAGCACGAAGACAATCGTAGCCTGCGACGGATTAGGTTAATTCCTTATCGATATCTGTAAGTTCTATCCAACCAATCAGAAGTCACAAAAAAGTTGATCGCTTGAAATTAAAAGTGTCCTCTTTTCATGTGAAGTTAAGGTTCTAGATTATCGCTATCTCATACAAAAGTTTCGCTCTCTGGTATTGTTTTTAGACTAAGCGCCCTGAGAACAAGAAATTAAAAACAAGTTTAATGCTGCTAGAAAATTTATTTCTTAGTCATGAAGGATTTTCATGAATGATTCTTTCAGCTTTCACTCTCATTTCTTTCAATACGCAAAAGAGTACAGGTACTGTAAACATACTTTCCAGGGACCCTCCATGTACAGATGACATTGCCCGATTTAAAGCGTTACACTTGAAACCTTAATCTGATCAAAAATGTTGAAGAAAACTTCGTTTTTCTGACGCGAAAAGTTTTTTATGCTAAGAGTGTCTTTCTTGTAAGCAAGAAATGAGCAAGTCACTTTTGCATTAAGACCCTGAATGAAAATTAACAGTTAAAAAACAAAAAAAACATGAAGTTCTAATTCATACTTGATCAAAAATACATTCAGGGGTAAATTACGCTAACAGTCCCTTTAAGCTTTTTAAAACTAATTTGTCCTTTACGTCAATTGTTCGCAGTTTATAAATAATCTTCTTAAACCATATCAAAACCTGATTGCCTAAATAAAAATTCATCAGAGTTTATAAAATGTTATGTTTTTCATACATTTACATATACAATATAATAAACATATTAAAAAAGTAAATATAAAAACCAAATATCTTAAGTTTTTTTAAAAATATTTTTTTTTTTGCTGGTTAAGTTGTTTGTAGAGAATTTTGGAATTTTAAAGTCTTAAACGATTAAATGAACAACAAAATAAGAACAGTTTATCTCACAATTTAGTTCAACATAATTTAGCTCATTTTTTTGCAGAGCTCCATTGATCAGAGCCAACTACTCGTAATTTATTAATTTTCTCTTAATTGTCATCAAGTATTTCTATACTGCACCCCCTCCCATTCCTTCAGGATTATATGATACTGCACCCCCTCCCCCCCTCCTATTCCTCCCGGATTATATGACACCTCTATCCCCGAAGTTTTTGCTGCTAAATAAACATGAGAAATGAATGGATTATAAGAAGATTAACACTTTCTCTCTTCAACCCTTAGTCAGAGTCCTATAGATACTTTAAATACAGGATAGATCAAAAATAGATACAACAACAGAAATTGGGCCTGGTCGCGCGGTTCAGCCGTTTTCAAAGTTAAAAATGAAGCCTCAACGCAAAGTCAAATTAAAATTTTAAGCAACTTTATTATTTTAAAATGTCAAATTACTGTCTTTTTACAAGCAAGCGTTTTTTTAGGGGGTGGGGGGGGGGAGGAGTGAGTTGCCACCAGATCTGCGTCCATCTTTATTGATATAACTTTCCATCTGACACTCTAATCATTTTTCTTGTCATCATATCACATATAATACTTACACTCATTAAACTAGGTTAGAATATATTTCTTCTCTCACATCCGATATTTACAATTGTCGATTGTATTTCTTCTTTAACGATATTTTTGTGAAAGAGAACAAAATCTTGCCTAAAATGCGTTTTAACACTGTAAAAATATTGCACTGAATCCCTACATTCTAAGTATAGCAATTGTTGTCATGAATTTTTGGATTTTAAGAGAATAAGTGAGAATGAATGTCGTTTTTGCTTCTCATTTTAATCGAGAAAATTTTGTAATTTAAAATTGCTGCAAACTTTTGTATTTGAAAAACTGAAAAAATAGTTTAATAGCAATATTTCATAATTATAAGACAAATTAAGACAATCGAGGACAATACCAACGGTTTTTTGGTTCTTACTGTAAAACAACGAGCAATCTCTATCTGTCCACCAGGACTGAACCTTCTCTCTCTTCTCTAGGTTTCTCTCTGAGTAAACTATCCGAAGAATTTCCTCCGTACTGGTTTAGTCTCGGGTAGAACTTCAAGATATGATAATCATACAGTACAATTCCTGGACGCTACTTCGTGAATTTTTGATTTTTTAATCGGCGGTTAAATACATGATCATTTAAAAAGTTATCCTTGCAGGGTATATTCTCAAAGGAATTTCCAAGAGGAATTAACATAATCCGTAGGTGTGCAAACATGGAGATCACTGGTCACTTAACCAAAGATTCAAAATCACTGTACCTCAAAAGGTCAAACATTTTATTTCAGCTCGATCAGAAATTACGAGAAAGAGAAATTGAGACTTTGCCACAAACTTAAGTTTTCTAATCCCTATACCTCTACAACTAGATGCATGGTTTAAACCTTTGATATTTCAAACTTGGACTATTCAATCTCACAGAATTCATAATTTGAAATATCTAAGTTCTACGACATTGGATTGCAAAGTTGTTAGAAAAATCAGAATTTGTGGTTAATCTTAGATTGTGAAATTAATTGATACAAATTTGATTTTGGAATATAAACAAATGTATTTGTTTTAACGACATTAGTTCGGGGAAAATTTAAATAGCAATCTCCTGGCAAACTTTAAACTTTGCCTTAACCAACCTTTTTTAATAAAAAGATAACAGTATAAACATATTTTTAATAGAAAGATAACAGTATAAACATATTTTTAATATGTTTAATTGTACCACTCCACTTCAGAAAGAATATATATTCTGCTGATTTTTCAATGAAGATTGGGTGGGTAGGGGAGGATAATGTGATGATGGAACACCTTCAAGCTCCTATACAACAAGAAATGAAACACCTGGAAGCTACTCTTTGTGGCCCTCATCCTTCTCGCAGAGTTTACTGTACACAGGTACCAAAACTTAGATTCAAGGAATATTGGTATCGCAATCAAATTGTTTACTATTGTGTTAATGTTTTATATTTAAAATATTGTTTTCATAAAAAATTGAAATGAAAAAAATTTTAATTTAGAGACATTTTTTCCACATTTGATTTATTAATAAAATAATATTTATCCCTCTTCAGCTTTTTCATATTTATCATATTAACTTTTCTAGGGAGGCCTAGAGGAAAGAAATTTAATAAGGCACGCGTTATTTGTTTTTCTTCTAAATAAATTAATAAAAAAACTTTGAAGAAGTCCTTTCTTTATTTCATATTCTTGTATTTTTAGGATTTTATAAGTTTGACAGTTAACTCCATCTATCTTTATCTTGTGATACTAATCCAACTCTGCCTGTTCCTTCACTCTAAGATGAATACCAAGAGTAAAAGTGTTCTTTCATTTCAAAAAATCCAGGTTAACAATGTATATTTGAATTTGATGAACATTTTATGCCAAACTAAATATGAAAAAAGCATATAAGTACCTATTGCAGAACTTAGAATAAATGGTGAAATTTTCATGAAAAAGGAATTGAGTCTTTGCCACAAACTCAAATTCTTTTCCCTATATATTTGCAATCTGATCGTGTAAAACTTTTATATTTCAAACTTAGATTATTTGATCAAATAGAATAGCATATTTTGAAATATGTAAGGTCTGCGACATTTGGTTACAAAGATATAGGGGTTATAAAATAGGAATTTGTGGCAAAGGCTCAATTTTAAAACTCATTTCAAAAATACCACATTTGAATGACCGAACAATTTAAAGAAAAATTGTTAAAACATGAAATAAATTAGCTTTACTACGATCATTACACCATTTCTATATTAATTATAATAAAATGGTCAACAATTATAATTTAAAGAAATTACAATTACTGTTTATATAAGATTATAAAATGCCTTGTCTATGTTATGTAATATCAATAACATGTCCCATATATGTAATATTTTGTCTATGTTATGTAATATCTATAAAATGTCCAATCTATGTAATGTCTTATGAATGTACTGTAATATTTATATTTATTATGTAATAACTATAAAATGTTCAAAATGTGTAATTGTCTGCGTAATGTAAAATCTATAAAGTGTTTAATATTTGTAATGAATTGTCCGCGCAATGTAAAATCTATAAAATGTTTAATATTTGTAATAAATTGTCTACGCAATGTAAAATCTATAAAATGTTTAATATTTGTAATGAATTGTCAACGTAATGTAAAATCTATGAAATGTTCAATATCTGTAATGAATTTTCTATGTAATGTAAAATCTATAAAATGTTCAATATCTGTAATGAATTGTCTACGCAATGTAAAATCTATAAAATGTTTAATATTTGTAATGAATTGTCTATGTATTGTAAAATCTATAAAATGTTCAATATCTGTAATGAATTGTCTATGTAATGTAAAATCTATAAAATGTTTAATATTTGTAATGAATTGTCCATGTAATGTAAAATCTATAAAATGTTCAATATTTGTAATGAATTGTCTATGTATTGTAAAATATATAAAATGTTCAATATCTATAATGAATTTGTCTATGTAATGTAAATCTATAAAATGTTCAATAACTGTAATGAATTGTCTACGTAATGTAAAATCTATAAAATGTTCAATATCTGTAATTAATTGTCTATGTAATGTAAAAGCTATAAAATGTTCTATATCTGTAATGAATTGTCTACATAATGTAAAATCTATAAAATGTTTAATATTTGTAATGAATTGTATATGTAATGTAAAATCTATAAAATGTTCTATATCTGTAATGAATTGTCTATGTAATGTAAAATCTATGAAATGTTCAATATCTGTAATGAATTGTCTATGTAATGTGAAATCTATAAAATGTTCAATATTTGTAATGAATTGTCTATGTAATGTAAAATCTATAAAATGTTC